GTGATGTGTGTGTTAAGAAAATAAGCCACAAGTGCACGATGAATACCATAAGACTTTTGGGCCCAATATTTAAGCCCAATGTCTCAATCAATTAGCTATTTTTTTATTTTTTTATTAATCTAATTTTACTATTAACATAAATAAAAATAAAATACGACTATTTATTAATTTATTTATGCTATATATGTCCATCACACGTAGGAAGGACACGTGGACGGTGATGGAGGGGACGTTGGAGGCGAACGGTAGGATGAACAAGAAGACGACTTTGATGAAGCGTTCTGATTGGTTGATGGATTTCGGATCATCCATGGGACCATATCCTCGAGCAACCCTTGTGGGCCAGTTGGTTCTGGAGTGAGGAAATCTGGGCTTCTTTGGGCTTTCGGCTCTGGGTCAATCGTCTTGGGCTTCTTGGTTGAAGATTGGGCCTATTGGGTTTGGCCCATTAGAAAGAATAGGTAAGCAAAGTGGAGGTGGAGGCCTTTGTAGGCGATGATGAAAGTGTTCGGATCTTCAATGGACCTTTCCACTTGCTTCTTTGCACCACATCCTGGGTTCGAACACCTGTAATAACACTCCTATTTTTATTCACAAAATTAAAATTTTTTAAAATAGAATATTAGAATATAAAAAGAAATCGGGACTACGAATATAAATCGATATTTAAATTTAAGTGTGAAAAAATGTGGGCACTAAACTGCAAATCTTTTGATATGGGGTCGTCAAGAGGGCATTCGTACTTTTTTTTTAGTTTTTTTGTATTATTGTCTTAAATTTGATTTAGTGTGGGCACGCTTACGATTAAGATATTGAAAAGGAAGGTACACTTTATTGATATAGATAGTAATTTTCAATTCTGTTAAACTTTACTTAGACATTTTATGGTGTTCGGTTAAATAAAATTTGACTCAACATGTTCTATTTAGCTTTAAACATAAACTTTCATAGCTAACTCATGATCATCCCATTAATTAGTCGATGTACGACTCCCGGCCCAACAATCCTCCTCTCGAACAAAGTACACTATAGAGCTTCCCATAAGGTCTGTGGAGCCCTCAAACAACCTCCCCTTAATTGAGGCTAACTCATCTCTTTAGAGCCCTTGAACAAAATACACCATTTGTTTGACACTTAACTTACTTTTTAATTTATTTGTTCGATATTTGAGAATTTTATTTACATGGCTACGTTAAGGACATGACTCAGATACCATGTTAGGAATCATAATTCTCCACCAATGGTATGATATTGTCTACTTTGAATATAAACTCTCGTGACTTTGCTTTTGGTTTTCCCAAAATGCATCATACCAATAGAGATGTATTCATTATAAATCTATGATCATACTCTTAATTAGCCAACAATCCTCAACAATTTCGCCTCATGACCTCAAATCAAGCGTAGTTGAGTCCATTACCAAAAATCTACATCAGCATAATAAAAAAAAATTTAATTAAATAGGCACAATATACTAAATTATAATTTAATCTAGTAAGTTTTCAATATAAATAAATAAAATAAAAATAAAAATAAAAAGAGAAGAAAAGTCATTGAAAGGCCCATTTTGGTAAATTATAATTCTACCGAATTATCCAGAAGGTTCTGGAATCATCTTCTTGCCGCGTTTCTTTTGTATAAATAGACCCCCTGTTTCTGCATTTAGATTCTTAGCATTTTCTGAATTTCGTACTTGATTGGAGATTTTAATCTATCATCTTTGTAAGTTAGGGCTTCCTTCAATCACTGGACGGCGATGTCGAAAGAAGGTCCCAACTGGGATGGGTTGCTCAAATGGAGTCTTGCTCACTCCGATGGAACTCGCCCTAATCGGAATCTGAGGTTTGCATCTCTTTCTTACGCTGCTAGAATTGTAGATTAGTCCAGGACTGAGATCTTTCATTAATAGTAATGCTGGATTATTGTTGTACAAGCTGGTTGGGAGCTGTTTTGTTCTATTATGTGGTTGATGTTATTTTAAAAGATTGTTTTACTTGCGAAGAGTAATAAGAATCATTAAGGGTGATAGTATTTTATGCTATTGTTTATTAGTCGTATGGTAGTGTTTTATCTTGGCGATCAAAATCTAGATTTGCGTTATTTCGCGTGTATTCTACAGTTCTTGCTGATGATTTTGAAGATATCAATGTTGGTTTTGATTATGTTTTGTGGTCGGGGTTTAGGATTCTGGTTACATACTAGATGATTACCTGTTTTGGACAATGTGTTTGCTGCGTAACTGATTAAGCAATGGTGTCGAATTATGTCTTTTTCTCAGTGAGGAGGACCGGCGATGGTTTATGGAAGCAATGCAAGCCCAGAGTGTTGATGTTGTCAAGCGCATGAAGGAGATAACTCAGGTGATGCAGACACCTGAGGAAGTCTTGGAAGCTCAAGGAGTTAATCCAGAAGACATTGAAGGTATCTTCATTTTCAGAGCTCTCATTCATGTTTACTCGGGCTGGGGTTCTGTTTTCCCGTCGTGTCATTTTCTGAACTATTTTGTTCCATTTTCTGATATTTGCAGATATGCTTGATGAACTACAAGAACATGTTGAGTCGATTGACATGGCCAATGGTAAATTACGCTCTTTATTGCATTGTATAAAATAACAGTTGGGCAAATTTGGAGTGTATTTATGATGCTCAACGGAAAATCTTGATGTGTTTTCATTTGTTAAAGGAAACAGCATCTACAATTTGAACCCAATTGAGTATGATCTTTATAGTTTATATACTTTTTTGTCTATGGGGATTTTCATTGCCATAGGTCCATTGGTTTAGACACCTAGTTTTATATATCAATCATTAATTATATTTGCTTTGGCAGACCTTCACTCCATCGGTGGGCTGCTTCCTCTTCTTGGATTCCTTAAGAATTCCCATGCAAATATTCGAGCCAAAGCTGCAGAAGTTGTGGCCACTATTGTACAGAATAATCCACGAAGTCAACAAATGGTGATGGAATTGAATGGTTTAGAGTCTCTCCTCTTAAACTTTACTTCAGACCCTGATGTCACTGCGAGAACCAAAGCTCTTGGTGCTATATCCTGTAAGTACATAGATTACTCCTTCCTTTTTGTGATGAAATGTTCAATTTGTGTCCTCTGTTTAGGCATAGGGGCTCTCATATATGTTTCTAACTCAGGTTTCCTCTTTGACTACTTTCTCTGCAGCTTTAATTCGACAGAACAGACCTGGAATTGCTGCATTCCGGCTTGCAAATGGCTATGCAGGCCTGAGAGATGCTCTTGGCTCTGAGAGTGTGAGATTCCAAAGGTAGTTATCTTGGGAAAATCCCATTTCCTCTTGGGGTTTATATAATAATAATGGTCAATTTCACTTGGATTCATTGAGTTCTTAGGCTCAAAATGCAAACAGTGTAATTTCCTTTGTTTGGGGATGGATTCTTTAATTGATCCTGTCTGTTTCTTTATCGAACAACTTATAAATAATCGAGAGAACCATTGTGCAGGAAAGCCCTGAACTTGATCCATTACCTGCTGCGTGAAAATACTTCAGATTGCCACATAGTGAATGAGCTCGGATTTCCTCGCATCATGCTACACCTTGCATCCAGTGATGATGCTGAGGTACGGGAAGCTGCTCTATGTGGCCTCCTCGAACTTGCCCAGGACAAAACAGGTGAGAATGGTGGAGGAGGATTAGGCGAAGATGATGACGACAAGTTAAAACAAGTTCTTGAGGAGCGTATGAAGGGAATCAGCTTACTGTCACCGGAAGATCTCGGGGCAGCTAGGGAAGAAAGGCAGCTTCTTGACTCACTCTGGAACGTCTGCTACAAAGAACCATCATCCCTCCGTGAGAAGGGACTTGTTGCTCTTCCTGAGGAGGACGCACCACCACCTGATGTTGCTAGTAACCATTTTGAGCCTCCTCTGAGAGCCTTGTCAGGAAGGCCTGCGGCTGATTCAGGTTCTAAAACTGAAGAGAAATCAACACCTTCATTGCTGAGCTTAGGTCCTGCACCTTCACCTGATACTCGAGACATTACTTCCAGTTCCGCAACGGATTCAACTTCGTAACATAGGCTGTATATTTACTAATTCAATGATCTTGCCTTTTCTATGACTACAACATTGCCATGGTTGTACTTAGGAAACGACCAACGCTTTGGATGTCAAAAAGATCGAACAGGCAGCGGCCTCTCCACTCCCCCCGTTATGCCATCTCAGAGATACTTCTATTACCATTTTTCATTGCCATAGAATTGTACTTTTGTGATTCGTTGGATGTTTAGAAAGATCAAGAACTGTGAAACTTCATATACAAAAAAGAGTTGTAGGAATCAAGGCATCTTAATCAGGTTAATCAGGTTTATTTTTAGATAGTGATTTAGAAAATATTGTAGAAAGAGCATTCATTTGCGTAAAAAGAGCATTTGTTCTTTGTAATTTTTATGTAATTTAAGTTGATGTTAGAATTAAATATAGTAAAAAGAGTAGGTTGATATTACTTGTAAAATGATTTAACATTTGAACGTTAAATGTAAAATGATTTGAATGTCAGATTGTATGTCTAGAATCATTAAAAAAAATTTGACATGATTGATAATTTGCATGTTTAGAATCATTATATTACTGTTTGAGATATTTGATTTTCTCTTGAAGGGATTCCTTATCATTAGGACCAAGTATTCTTACTTTTACTATGTAGTTTAAATTGCATATTGCCAAGTGTTCTTACATTTACTACGTAGTTTAAATTGCATAGTTAGAATCATTTAAGTTAGACATAATCGATATTGTAGAATAATTCAAATCTTAAATAAGTGTTCTTGTTTTGAGATATAATTCAAATCTCAAATAAGTGTTCTTGTTTTGAGATATTTGATGAATAAGGTAATTCGAATCTTACTTTCCTAGTAGTGATTTCTTATCGTTTTGTATCAAAATTTTCTTGCGTTGATTTCTCGAATCTTTGGCATGTACGGGAAGTGCACAAACCAATGGAAACCCACTACTCCAAAACCAAGCAACTTTACAGTTGTAAAACAACCCAAAGTACTCTTTTCCATTAAAACAACCTTCTTCTCATCACAGTTCCTTAAAGCTACCAAAAACACTGAATCCTAACTAACACCCATCTACAACAACTGAGGAGGGCAAAAAGTAATGACATAACGAGAAGCCCTGCACCGATTCAGACTCGAAGAGTCATCATAAGCATAGCTATAAGCCTTGGGACAAATGGCCTTAAACAAATGAGCAAACAGAGTAGGCTTGCAAGAATTGGGATTTGCATACTCTCCCGTGCAGCAATACTTAGCCGATTGCATAGCCAAGCAGGCGCTCTTGCACCCCACAACCCTGCTCCCCCTCCTCACTTCCAGCGCCGATGGGCAGCAAATGTTCACATCAACCTCACACGACGCCACCCCACACCCAACCCCTCCCCCCACCGGCTTCATCGACACCGGCAAGTTGAACCCATCCACCAAGCTCACATCATAGAAATGCAGGGGAGATGAGGACGACCCTAATGTCATCTCCACCAACGTGGCTGGCGGCTCGCCGCCAGCCCCGTGACAATGTAGCTGCCCACCGCAGTCCCCAGTCTCACATTGGCCCTTGCCGTTGGAGTCAAAGCTGCAGCCTTGTCTGCCCCATATCCTCCCCGACCACTTGTCCGGCACGTCAATGACTACTTCTTGCCCGCTTCCGAGGAAGAATCCGCCGTCTTTGAGCGTGTTCTGCCCTGCTCCGCCGAGAATTCCCGGCCATATGGTTTCGTTGCAGTTGTTGACTATGATGATTTGCTCCCCATCTGCACAAAAAGAAGTAAAAGAAAAACATTACAAATTGAAGTTCGTGGAATCAAGACAAGATAAGGAGAGATGAGTACTTAAGAAACCAATTGATGAACAGAGAAGGATGCAGAGCAGAAGTGAAACAGCTGCCATAGCTAGAAACCTTGAAAGAAGCTGCAGGACACACAAAGATACATATAACTGAGTTCAATCTCCTTTTTTATGTCACTTTCACTTTCAGATAAAGGGCAATATTCTTTTCTTCTTAATGGGGCTTTCCTCTTCCTCACTCACAAATATGCCAAATTTTTCGGTTATGATAACTTTGTTTTGAGCTTCCCCAGAAGATCTTATCTCGTATTAATGAACATGAATTTTTTATAAATTCATAATCTAATTCTTTGATTAGCCTATGTGGAACACTCTTCCCAACAATCCTCGACAGATTTAGTATTCTGAAATGATTTGTCTCTCAAACACGACCGTTTGGAATCTTAAAACATGTTCAGTTTCTTTTGTTGTATATTCTTCTTCGGTTGTCGTTCAAAGATCTGTTTTTTCTCCTTTTCTTTTTGTAAAGACAATTGGAATGGATGGATTTGAAGTGAAGAAGAAACTTATTCCATCTTTCTTTGTGAGAATATATTCATCTCGTTGATTTGGAAAGTACTTCAACATTGAAAATTGACAAAATAAGGATGAAAAAAAAACCAGAATTCTCTTGACCAATCAACCTAAAGGTTCCTATCTGTATCCTGACCAGATATGTTAGGGAAGACCCAAAATTCAAGCGATATGGATTTCTCGATGATAATATTTTAATTTTGTAGTGTCTATTTGATTCTTAAACTATAAAAAAAATTTAATTACATCTTAACGATAGATGTGATTCGATAATCGATTCGATGTGTTTAGGATATAATATTAACGTCCTCACGAGAGGTTATTCATGTTAAAGCTTATGCAGAGAGTGTTAATGGTTTTGGTCTTTTTTTTATTCTTGTCCAATAAGATTGCAAGTAAAAGATATCAATAACCAAAGAAAAAGGGAACTGAAAGAAACATGTTGGAGAATAATTTGTCATTTCAGAATATAATACAAACATTTTTTTTTAATTAAAAACATAATAAAGAAAGTAGAGAAAAAATTATTAATTTTATTTACTTTTAAGATAATTATAACATTTACATCTTTCTTTTTCCGTTCTTAATTTGATAGATAGAACACATAGAACTAGTTCTTAATTTGATAGATAGAACACATAGAACTAATTCATTTTTATGTTGAGTGAATAATGATGAAATTGAAATATACAATTCAATCCGTTCGAAGGCTATTTTTTTTAAAGGTAAAAGAGAAATTGTATCGTGGTTGGGTTACTTTTCGTTAGTATTATAATGTTTAACCATGCTAGGAATAACAGCATATTCTGAAGGAGTTGGAAAGATATTGTGGCAAATGGCTCTCAAAAGATTATGCTTTGAGCTCTTTAAAAATCTTTTGAATAAGAAATAGCTTTAAAGGGATTTGATTGGAATATAGTGCCGTGGATGTGTACTTGTTCACTTATACTTCTGTACTTTTATTATTATTATTATTATTATTAAATTAAAATTGTTCTCTCGATATTTCGAAAATTAGAATTTCATAACCCAAACGATAAGAAATCAACTCAATAAAGCAAATCTAAATACATGAAATGCAAATAAACTCGCGCTAATAGGTACATGGGACCTTTCCCATTGAATTTCATGGCAAACCTCCAAGACTCTCGAAGTGAAATCTAGCAATTCCCAAGTCCCATCTTAAATTGAGAGGTCTGAAGTAGGAAACCATGGAATTCATATATAGCAAGAAGTTAAACCAACCATAAGTGTAGATCTCCCATTTAGGTCATTGCAACTCGTACGATGAGAAGCTGAAACCCGATCGCCCCTCGTTTGTAGATTTAAGTTCAAGCTTCTGAAATGGGCTGCAGATTTCAAGCAGTAATTGTCAATCACTCTGCCAAAGCAGCGAGTTGTGTTCAACATGTGCATATAAAAAAAGGATTCATACCTACTATTAGGGTCATAGTAGAAGCCACTGATGGAACCATCGCTACAAGAGAAGCAAACATAATAAAAACCAGCTATAGTTAACCCGCAATCTGTTCCAACGTTCACAAAGTATTGCTCCTTCCATCTCTGCACCAAAGACGAAAAGAAACCATGCTTCTTAGTCTAAAGAAGATAAATATATTTATGGTAATTGAAGTAGCAACGGTGAGGGAGATCAGAATACCATAAATATGCATGGATAACCACTAAGATCCAAAGATTTTCCACCATCAACTTCCACCTGGTTCTGGAACAGATATTTTCAAAAGGTAAAGTAAATAAACTGTTTCCTATGGAGCTAAAAGTACTGATGAAAGGATGAACTGACTATGGGGTCCTCACCATCAGAGGACAAAATGAAGCAAATTTGGTCCAGTGCCTAATATCATCTTCTGGTCTGGAAAATGGTAAAAAAAAAATTAAGTAAATAGGTTTAAATTTTGATGTTCCTACTGAGATCAAAGTCCATGTCAGTAATAAGTTCGTTTTGGAACAGTATTCAAACAAGCTTGGTGATTCTTATCAATTTATACATTAGTTACATACGCGGCTTGCCATTTTCCAGTGAAGAAATTGTAATTCTTGCCATCTACAATCTCTCCTTCCCAAAAGGTTACTACCTGCCACAATCAGAAAAACCAAATGAAATTTTGAATGAAGCTATAATAAGATCAGATCAAATAAGGTCTAGATGCATTCAGTAGATTCCAGCATCCAAGTTCTTAAAATCATAGATTTAAGGAAGTATAGTCTTTCCAATAGAATTGAACCAAGTAACTCAGGAACCCTGCATTTTAGATGTTTAATTTATATTTACAGTAATTATAAAATTGTTCCAGATAGATATAAGATACTTTGTCATCAACTAAAAAAATTATTCTTGAGAATTTCAAAGTTAACTCTTTCTCACAACTGTTTATCTCAATCTCTCCCAATTGATGCAGAAGGTGATACCTCCGTTGGCCATTCTTAAGCTATGGTTGAAGATGAATGAGAGAACATTTGAAGGCCCCTCTCTAGATTTTTTGTTGAACTTTGTGGCTTCATTTAAATTTCTTTGGCTCTTTTGGTGAGATCTTTTTAAGAAAATAAAAAATTCTGGAGAAGAGGCAATAGTCCATAAACCTCTCTACTCCATTCCCTCATAGCCTTCCTCCATATACTAACTAGAGCCATTTTATGCAAGATTGTTAAGATAAGACGACATATGAGTGGTTTTACATTATTTTTATAATAATTGGAATAGATATGGAGAAGATTGAAAGGGATATTGTTTGCAAAGGATTGGAATGAGAATTCATTTCAAATTCTTATAAAACTTTCCATAAACTTGCGGAGAAGAAAAGATGACGATGGCTCACGAAAATGGGAAATAGGATGTCATCCTCTACCATGGAAAAACCAATCCATGAAAATACTTCCCAAGTTACACAGATTAATGATCATATTCTCATCCTACTTCAGAGAACATGGCAATGGAAAGTGAGAATCCTTTTTGTGGGGCAAGAAACAGTAACTTCTTTTGTTTTAGATACACAAATTAAGAATTATTCTGTAGTTCCCACTCAAGAAAACAATAGGAACAGAAATAAGGGAGAATTACTCAGTCTCTGAATAAATAAACATAATCGCAGTCATACCATACATTTCAAACCATATTTTAACAACTAAAGATTCTGTATTGTTTTAGTTGATTCAAATGCATTACGTGTTTTGCCTCTTGCAATTTAGTTATCCTTGTCAGAACCTACAGAGTTTGAAAGAAATACTCAAAGTACTTTCATTCTCAAGAGAGGATTGAAGAGCAGCAATGATGCAATATATTGCGTAAGATCCAATATCAAGCATGTGCAGCACATTCTCAAGTAAAAATCAAAGAGGAAAATACTCTCATTTGAATAAGTTCGCTCACACTAAAAACAATATCTGGAGATCAAACGGGTTTAAGAAAGAACATGAACAGAATTAAAACAAAAAAAAATGTTGGTGATTACGCAATATAAATTTTCAATAAATTATGAAATGAAAAGGACAACGTAGAACCATAACCACATAAGTCCACGCACAATATACAAGAAAAGATTGATCATCCCATAAAAGTCATAAAACGTGGGCATCATAATCCAAAGCCACGTGTGAAAGTAATCAAGAACAGTCCTTTTAGCTTTAAATGTTAAGAATCACAAAAAAAAAAAAATTGTGTTTACACTCAATCCTCAAAGGAAACAAAGAGTTACCGGTGTGTCCGCCATGGGAACATTGAGAGCCTCCATCGTACCACAGAGATATCCATGGTCAAGGTCCAATCCCTGAATTCGTACATTTACCCTCCACGCCTCATCCTTCTGATTATTAGAGACATTTTGAGTACCGGAGAACGCCTGGTACAAAAATCACAAGGTCACTTGAAGATAATTTCAAGTATTAAACCGAAATCATAATGGCACACGGTAAGTTAAGTATTGAATCAACAACAAATTGGAGAAAATTAACCTGTCCAACACTCAACAGCGTACAAGCCTGAGGAGTACTTTGCCTAGAATCAGCACCTACCAGAAAAAATCACGATGAGAAACACAAATCAATTTCCAAAACGCAACTGAAGTATAATTTGGCTAAGGTTTCTGAGCTAATTGATAACACGTTGATCCAATCCATAGATAATAAAAAAAACAAAAAAAAACCCTAGTTTCAGAATCGATGACAGCTACAGCTGTGGGACAATTTAGGAGAAGGATGAATGATGAGAAATGGAATTACCTGAGATTTGAGAAGGCGCGGAGCTCTCAACTCGCACCGGCATCTCCTTCCCGCTAATTTTCCGGTGGCTGCAATCAGCGAGCAGTTTTAAAACCAAAACGGAACCTGGAAGGGCCTAATGAGACGAGAAAATTGAAAAGAAAAAAAAAAAAAAAACTTTTTTTTTATTAATTTAAAAAATTGAAATATTATAATATTTTTTTAATTAGAAAGAAAATCTCCTAATATTTTTTAATTAAATTTTTTTAAAAAAAAAAAAATTAGTATTTTATTTTTGGTTTTAGGTAATTTTGAGGAAGATGGTGTCACATTTGATAAAGTTTGAATTAATAATGGGAATCAACAATGTCAAATCCTAGTAGCCTTCTTAATTGACCTTTGGGATTAATCAAAAGTTATTGCTAAACCATAATTTATAGTCATAATCAACCC